CTTTTCTTTTTAATCCTTCAATTATCTCCCCTCCAAACACATCCCCAACTCTTTGTTCGAGTCTAAATCTAATATAAAAAGAATCTAAAAACATTGGCAACATAAAATTTATATACACGACTTCAGTTCAAAATCTTTCTAAACCTTTTACTTAATCATAAGATAATAATATAACACATAGTTCCTCAAAGCAAGACTCCCCATACATGGTAGAAGTTTCTGTTAGTCTTCTTTTCCTTCAACTTATTTTAATCACCATGCAAGCAAAAAGTTAGGGAAAAAAAATAAAAAATCCAACTCTTGTTAGCTAAATGCAACTGGTTGCTCTATTAATTACAAGAAAAAGAAAAGATAAAAATTCTATTACACTAAACAATTAAGAGTAGTATTTGTTCGAGTCAACAATTACCCTGCGCAATAAGTTTTGATAGGTTAATTCAAGTTACTCTCGATTACCACAAACAACTGTATATTTAGATATTCTCCATCGATTGCTCCTCACTTTGGGAAAAAAAAAAATTAATAATAATAAAGTGCTTGAGAAAACCTACTCATGTGGTTCAATCCTCTTGCACTTCTATAATTATTTCATTAAGAAAAACAGAATTAGTTGCACGTTAATTAATTGTAATAATGAGGAAAAAAATTTAGGTAAAAAACAGAGTAATGTTATTTATCATCATTAGTGTTAAACACCAACTTAAATGGAAGTTACATTACATTAAATGATAGATTCATTTAAATGTAAATTCAGATGACTCATTTAATTGAACTTATAAAATGTTGTCATCTAAATCGAGCTCTAGCACCGCTGATATTAACATTATTCCAAAAAATAACTTGTTATCGTCAAAGCTCACAGTGTTGGGTCATTCCAAAAGCGGATTTTTACACTTCCCATAAACGCTCTTCTCTGTTATACCTTTCAACTACAGGCTTTCCCATCCTTCAAGAGACCAGCCCACCCAATCCATAACTTCAAACAGTGTCATATTCCTTCTAAAATTTTGCTAAATGTACAAAATTTTTGTAGAGATAGGTTGACAGAAGAGGCAGGTGCATGCTCCTGTTCTTTGATTTGAATTTCTGAAATTCAATCATCTGTACAAATGAAATAATTGTTACTACTATATCTACACCCTTTAATAAAAAATGTAGTTATATACATATACTTCCATATCTCTACTAGAAAACCTAATTCCACTAATACTGATCAGTATACTATATATACTAAAACGTAGAGAGTGAGAAAGAGAGAGAGAGAAATGGCATCCTTGGACAAGGTTGTGGAGACAAAGGTAGTAGAAAACTATGTAGAAATGGAAACTGAAGGTAAACCTACAAACATCAAGTCAAAAAAAAAAAACATATCCATGTTATTGTGGCATGGCGGCTTAGTTTATAATGGCTGGTTTAGCTGCTCAGTTTATGATGCGTCTCCTCGAGCCTCAAAAGTCATTTGCCATGTATAGTAGTTTCAACCTTTTCTTGGGAGCAAGCGACGGTTAAGCTGTTTTTCTTGGAAACATGCAACAACCTTCAAATCATTAGCACGAATTCACATTCAGAGCCTTGTCCTCTTGTAGGACAACGCCTCTCTGCCAATCCAACTTCTCTCAAAGTTGCTACCATTCAAATCCTCGTCCTCCTATAGGATAGCACCTGTGTCAATCTTGCTTCTCTCAAAGTTGCTATCATTTAGAGCCTCATCTACGGATGATAATTTGAACCGTCAAAATCGAAAATCGCGATTAACCTAATCGAATGGGACGAAAAAAAATCGTACCAATGGTGCAATGAGATGGATATGGTATTTGATTTTAATAAATCGGTTCGTGGCGGTGCGGGTATGATATTTATGCCGTCGAACCGAAACCGATTACCCACTAAAAAAATAATAAAAAAATAAAGCAAAAAAAAAACACACACACACACAAAATTGAATTAATTATTGGGCTTTACACTACTTTTCTATCCAGCCCAAAACAAAATCCCACCCATTACATCTATCTGACTCAGCCGGCCAACTTACTTATCATTAGTGCAAAATAATAGCATTAGTATGACAATATATATGCAAACCCTACTCTCCACAAACCACAAACTCACGCACAGCTCCACTGTCTCCACGGTTCAAGTCGTCGTCGCCTTCGAAAATTTGTTACATTTGTTAGCCATTCTATTACTGCTGATCATGTAAAAACAGAGTTCGATATTTTTCTAGACAAACCAATATTGCCAAGGATGGATGGTTTTGATTTATTGACATGATGAAAAGCAAATTCAATAAAATATCCGACTTTACAAAAGGTTGCAAGAGATTTATCACCCATTCCAGTATCTATTGTACAAGTGGTAGATTTGTGAGTCCATATAGAAATAGGCTTCACCCGAAAACTGTAAAGCTTTAATGTGTGCTCGGGATTGGCTTTGGACTGATATTCATGATAGGATTTATTGTTTTATATTTGTTATTTATACACTTCCTTTTATTGTTAATTTTTTCTATTGTGTGTAGAAAATTTTACTCCTTCATCATACTCTAGAACTTGTGCAACGTTTAGTGAGAAGAAAGCCGACGAAGATGTACATTTTTTTTATTTAAATCTTAGTTAAGACCATTCTGGAATAAATAGTATCGTTGTATTCTTTACTTATATTTCTTATTTACTATATAGGAATTAACTTTGAGTACTGATCTATGCTAGTAAGACTTGTGGGGAAAAATAAATCAACTTCGATGCACAACAATCAAGAATGGAGAAAAAGTTTAGTATTGTTATATTTATAATATTGTTTGTTAAATTTGTATTTTACAGATTGGGATAATGTTTACATTTTCGTTTGGAATATTGTGTTTTTGTTTTCATTGACTTTTTTCATAAATTGTTTTATATCAATTTGATAGATTAACCTACAAAAAATAATTTATTTTCGTGATTATTAACCGAACCGAACTGTGCCAAACCGATTTACGTGGTTATGGTGCGGTTATGGTATGATAAAAAATTTGGTGGTACGATTATGATTTTGACCGAATCGACCTATAACCAAACCATACCCTAGCCTCATCCTCCTATAGGACAATGCATCTACCAATCCAACTTCTCTCAAAGTTGTACCATTCAGAGCCTAGTCTTCTTGTAGGACAGCGCCTCTGTCAATCCAGCTTTTCTCAAAGCTGCTACCATTTAGAACATCGTCATCCTATAAGATAGCGCCTTTGCCAATCAGCTTCTCTTAAAGTTTTTATTATTCATAGCATCATCCTCATGTAGGACAACGCCTCTGCCAATCCAGCTTCTCTCAAACCTACTACCATTTAGAGTCTCGTCCTCCTATAGGATAGTCTTTCTGCCAATCCAGCTTCTATCATAGCTGCTACCATTCAGAGCATTGTCCCTAGCTGGACTATGCATTATATGGACTTGGAAAGACTAACGTAGTTTATTCAACAGCCCACATATTATATAAATATCCATCTATAGACTTGGGGGACTATTGTTATGCCCTTGTAACGAAACACCAGATCATCAAACATAGGCCACACTTCAAGGTGCTAAAGCACCTAACACATCAACATAAAGTGAGGCAGAATACGAAGTGGATAGTGTCCGATCCGAAATGATGCCATTGGATAATTTTCTTGCTCATAAGCCTATTAACATGGATATACTTTCTGATGTGAAGGGGTTAAAACATCAATTAATCTAATTCTATCTTGTCATTTGGGTTTTATTTCTTTGGACTATTGAAGCAAAAATAAGGTTGTTCTTTGCCTTTCACCGACCACATTAAATACTATTTTGAGCAAGAGATTTGGAAGTGGGCTAATTCTAAAATTTGGTCCATGTAAGATATCAGGTTGGAAGTGGGCAAATATTAGAGAAAACCGATAGTGGGCTAATTCTAAATTTGGGCCAAAATATAACTTTTTTAAGAAAAGAGTTACAAAGCAAAATAAGATATGGACCAAGGGCCTCCCATCATATTAGCCTATTACAGCCTCCTCCATAGCCATCCCTCATATAACGTCAAGTGAGAATTATTTTTTAGATGATGCTATTCTTACTATAATTCAATTATTTTAATAATACCTTTACTTTTCGCTTTTCAATATATATTCAATTATTTCATTAATACCCTTCTTTTTTCATTTTTTAATATGTATTTAATTTATTAAGCATTTAAACCATTTAAACAATATTATCATTAGTTATATTGTCAACTATTTAATTGTGATAAATGTACATTTGACGAACAATTTGTACTAATTATTTTTTATATTCTCACATTTAAAATATTATTTTTATAGCACCTATAAAATATTTTAGAATAATGTTCAATGCATGTTAAACTTGACTAATTACATAAAAAAGTTGGGAAAATGTCAAACGAACATCATGGTTGACACAATGGGTGACCGCACCCTCATATGCCGAGGTGTGTCCCAAGTGATTAAAAAAATACCGACCTCCATTTATGAGTGTGTGCGGTCATCCCCGCGATCATCCGTGCCCATATAGCTTGGTCCAAAAAGTTGAGGACCAACTCATTGTGCAACTAAAAGAAAAGATTGAGGACTAACTTATTTCTTTTATTAAAGGTTGATAACCAACTTCTTACTTGACCTGCAGGTTGAGAACAAAACATAAACGTTTTAGGATTAGGTGGAAGACCTATTGTATGAATTGAAAATTTTAAAAATTTATCGCTCGAACGTATGTATATCATTTCTATCCTTGCCAAGGGCCCACATCACAAATATGCATTATCAAAGTTTCAATGCAAATTTATTCCCCTTGCTTCAAGGTTGGGGTTTAAAACGATTTTTGACCAAGTTATGAGTGATATTTGGTGGGTAGATGTCCCGAAAGTCATCGAGTTTATTTTATTTCTTTAGAATCCAACTTTTGCTAGCCAAAAATTCATTTCTTTTTTTTTTCTCTCTCTCTTTTTTTTTTTTTTTTTCAAATAATCAGAATCAAACGCGTGCTGAATGACAACTGTCAATAATCAAAATACTTCCCATTTATTCTCAATAATAACTCCTTTAACGTTAAGAAGCTAGAAAATTAGAAATAGCATGAGTACAGTACAGACCAAAGAGCAAGACCTTACCAAATCCCAAATAAAGAAAACCCAACATGGAAATCAATAATGCAAAACCATTAGGGTATATTCAACAACTGCATTATTGGTGGTAAGATTATACCAAACAGTTTGTGCAGTGGCGATACCACGCGCCAGCCGGAAAACACCTGAGCCACCAACAATAGACATCTCTCGGTACTTGCCAAAAACCGGATTATGTCCGAATACACTAAGCGTGCTACCATTAAACTTTCCATCCGTGAAAACGAAATTTAGGGTCATAAGTAGACCAAACTCTTCTAGTGAGGCCGAACTGTATATCCCCTGGGCTCGACCCAAGATCTTCGAGTCAGGTTCCGGCCCCTCCCTTAAAGGATCATCTGCAACACTTACTAGACCAAATAAAGTTGGGGACTTGAATGTCATGTTGGATTGAGCCACCGAATAAGAAGTTATATTATTGCCACTTACCGTGTCATGAAAGTAGAAATGAAGTTTGGTCAATTTTTCTTTCGCATATGGTATGTTTGTGAACCACTTTTCGACAGCTTCCGGACCTTTTTTAAGGCCACCTGCGGCAACAATACTGATAATCACTAACGAGCAAAGCATGAAAATTATGCATAGTTTCGCCATTTCTTATTTTGATCTAAGAAGAAGATAGTATTATGATTTATATAGCAGATGGACAATCGGAAACTCTTACGTTTTAACCAATTGAATTAGGTCAAATATTATTTATTATAAAAAAATTGCCTTTAATGTTATGACAAAAATTAACAATTGTTAGTAATAGGTTGGTTATGTTGCCGGCATATTTTTTATTTTTCGCTAATATTTATTTCACAATCTTATCTCATTGCGTGCTTGTGTCCTCAACCATTCTTTTCATTGTATTTTTAAGATTAAAATCTTTTATTAATTAGTGTATCTTTTATTGATATATAATAGTTTCTACCTAACGTATTTTAAAATGTAAGCAAAAAACAAGAAACACAAAAGTGTGACATAATATTTTTTCCGAAATGCTAATTAATAGAGATTGATGATTAAATTAAGACCAAAAAAAAAAAAAGAAAAGCAAAAAGACAATAAGTATTAAGTAAAGATAAAGATATTTATTATAATTAAAAAGGAATGCAAATAAGGAAAAATGTTGATAATATTGTTCGAATAGTAAGTTCATTTACAATCTTTAAGAGGAGCAAGTTAGTAGTCAATCTTTCATCTTATAATGCATAATTAATCTCCAATAATGAAACCTTTTAAATCTTCATTAGACTAAATCGTCGCATGGTTGTGATAAAAATATGTCCCACTTCATTTATAGTCAACCCCTAAAGTTGAGAAACAAAATTAAAATTAAAATTGGACATATGGGCTCAAATGATAATTTAAATGAAATATGGAAACTTGGGAGGTGTTATTCGTGGGTTAGGTAAAAAAAACCCTACTAATCAAATTAATCAATAATTAAACATCAAATATTTGATGGTAGATAATAAAATTATCCACTTGTTATTAAACTTCTGTTCGATAAAGTTTTTTGAGATTATAAACTTGTAAATTTCATGAAATGTTTGGTTAAAATGTTAAAATAAATTGTGCATCGATTTAAACTTGGTTAAAATTGAAATTTGACCTACTCGTAATCTCAAAAAGCTTTGTTAAACATGAGCCAATCATAATCAAACAATTAAAAAAAGGGGTTGATGGAGCCTATTAATATTTATTTAATCCACAGTAGAAATTGAGTACATATGAACTAACAACAAATAATCAGAAGCTAAACAAATTGCATGTTTGACCATATTTAAAATTTTTATCCATAAATAAAATTATTTTTTAAAAAATTATATTTAACGAAATAAGTTAATCCAACAATCTTGCAACACCACTATTGTAAATTCAATCACAAACATAATTGGAGGTAAATCAATCCATAGGCATGTCAACGTTCTTGTGAAAAACTTGGTTGTTTTCAAGTACACTAATTGTGCTAGAGTTATACTTTCTATTAGTGAAAACAAATTAAAATCGAAGATCATAAGTAGACCTAAATCTTCCAACGAAACCAAATCATACATCTCGGCCTCGACCAACAATCTTCTAGTCAAGTTCCAGACTCACCACCAATGCGTACTATAACTAAAGTTAGGGATTGGAATTTAATGATGGAATGTGCCACCATAGTAGAAGTTGGATTCTTGTCACTTAGAGTATTTTCAAAAAGCTCTTTAAATATAAAATGCTCTCTATGTAAAAGAGTCAACCCTTAAAATTATATTTTAAAAGACTCTTTAAGTTAATATTTAAAATAGAGAGTGAGAATGATTCTCCAAATATGGAGTGTCAAACTCTTTCTCTATAACTAAATGCATTCAAAATATTTCAAATTTCAGTAGAGAAAAATAATATAACAATTTGAAGGGAAGCTAGCGAAAATAAAAGATAGGAAAAATAATATAATAATTTGGGAGTATGTAAAATGACGTGATAAAGATAAAGAACTTGTTGAAATGCTTAAAATTTTTTACTCTCTAAATTTAGAACACCTTCACAAAATTCTTTATTTATAAAGAGCATCTTATGCATTAGTATCTATAATTTAAAGAGACAAAAATTTTATGCAATCCGATCATGCTTTCTATTTTAGCTCTTTATTTTACTTTTCTCAATAATATTTATTTATTTCTTCTCATATTTTATTTAAAATAATTTTTTATATACGGCCAAAGGTAGACGGGGGCTTCTGCCGTAAATAACCTATCTTCAAACCCCTGTTTGTAATTATCAGTTGGGGGTCATATTGTAATTACATAAATAAGGATCTGTCGTGCAATTTTAAATACGAAGGACCTAGTTTTCAATTTCAATCCAGGGTTAATATGTAAAGTTCAAAAGGGTATCAAATTTAAACTTTTAAAAGGTTTAACCCTAAGATTTCAATTTTGACCCAATTAAAAATTTTATTTAAACTTGACCAAATTAAAATTATATATTGAATAAATAATAAAATTAATTGACGAATTTTTGTATTATTTCATTAAAATGTTTATGCATTTAAATGTTGCCATTATTTGTGTGCTTAAATTTCAATTTTTTATATGTATACTGAAATTTTGAAATTTTGTTGCAAATTTCGTTTCTCAATCACATATGAATTTTTACCTTTCATCAATTGACAATTATAATTTGTTACATAATTACTGTTTTGTGATTGAATTTTTTATGGGCATTGAGACGATTCTTGCTTTCCCACTATGAGAGAAATATTTTGAAATAAAAATAGGTGGTAGTTGCCAAAATGGCGCACTCATTATTATTTGTTCGATTTTTTCTACAATAAAAAATATATATATTTTTGCGCAACAATTTTGATTTATTGCATATAATATCTTACCCAAAAGTGTTATTATATGTGACGTTTCGAATCAATTATCTGCTATTGAAATCTTGACTGAGAATAACTATGTGAGATGGAAACGAGAAGTTGAAATAGCACTTGGTCTTCTGGGCTTGAATTTTGCAATGGATCAAAAGCTTGAGAAACTCACGGATAAGAGTACTGTTGAATATGTAGTCGAACATGAAAAGTGGGAAATGACTAACAAACTCTATTTGAAAATCATTAAGCAATCGATATCTGATTCCATTCAAAGTGTCATCCCCGATAATGAAAATGTCAAAAGTTTTATGGATGTCATAGGAGAAAAAATTATTGAGTCTGATAAAATCGAAATTGGGGATTTGATGGATAAGCTGATGAGCATGAAATATAATGGTACAAGTGGGGTTAAGGAGCATGTCATGAAAATGATAAATATATCATCTAAACTAAAGGCCATTGACATTTCCATTGCGGAACCTTTCATGGTTTATCATGTTTTGAATAGTATTCCTAACAAGTTTAATCAGCTTAAGGTTGTTTACAATACTCAATGGGATAAATGGAATTTGAATGAGCTCATAGCAGTGTGTGCCCAAGAAAAGTATAGGATGCGTCATAAAACTGTTGAAACTGTGCAATTAGCTTTTCAGCCATCACAGAATAAGGAGCCTTTTCATAATCATAAACCTAAGTTTCGTAAGGATAATAAATCCCACCGAAGTCAGCATAATAAAAATTTTAGTGGTCTCAAAGGAGTTATAAAAAAAATGATCAATGCAAGTTCTGTAAAAAGAAGGGTCACTGGCATAAAGACTATTTTAAGTTCAAGACTTGGTTGGAAAAGAAAATAAGTTCTCCAAGTATTCCTTTGGCCTTAGTTTGTTTTGAGCCTTTTTTTAGTAGATGTGCCTTTGAATTCTTGATGGTTAGACTCGGGAGCTAGTATTCATATTGCGAATTCCTTGCAGGGATTCACAAGCAAACGGAGGCCAAGTGAGAATGAAGTAAGCTTGAGCGTTACAAATGGAGTTCAAGTGAAGGTTGAATTTATAGGAATAGTGAAGTTAACTTTAGAGTATGGTTTTTATCTTGTTTTGGAAAATACAGTTTATATACTGCAAATGAAATGGAATTTAATTTCTATATCGAAACTTGATGCTTGTGGTTTTACATTTAATTTTGGTGACGGAACGGTTGAGTTATTTAATGATTCTCGTTTGATTGGAAATGACATTTTATGTGATGATTTATATAGATTGTCTTTAGCTCCTTTTGGTGATGTCTCATGTGTTACCAATGTATCAAAGAAAAGGGTTTTAATTCATAAATCATCCTTTATGTTGTGACATAAGTGTTTGAGTCATATTTCTAAGGATAGAATGGAAAGATTAGTAAAAGATGAGATACTTCCCTCTTTAGACTTCTCTGATTTTGAAACCTGTGTGGATTGCATAAGAGGAGAGCTAACTAAATCTACAAGAAAGGGTTCAACTAGGAGTGATGGAATTTTGGACTTGATACACACTGACATTAGTAGACCTTTGCCTTCCACTATATGTGGGGATAAATACTTCATAACTTTCATTGATGATTTCTCACGATATGGATATGTTTACTTGATTAACGATAAATCACATGCACTTGAGAAATTCAAAGTTTTCAAACTGGAAGTAGAAAAACAATGTGGAAAAATTATTAAAGTTGTGAAATCTGATTGTGGTGGTGAGTACTATAGGAAATATGATGAGTCTGGTCAAAATATGGGTAATTTTGCAAAGTTTTTACAAGAGTATGGAATAGTGCCCCAATACACCATGCTAGGGACACTATAGCAGAATGATGTTTCTGAAAGATGTAATCGAACCCTAAAAGATATGGTTAGAAGTATGATGAGTAGAACAAATTTGCCTAAATATTTGTGGGGTGAAGCCTTGAAAACTGCTATGTATATTTTGAATAGAGTTCCAAGTAAAGCTGTTGCAAAGACACATTTTGAATTATAGACAGAACGAAAGCCAAGTTTGGCTCACCTTAAGGTTTAGGAATGTCCAGCTGAGGTTAGGACTTATAATCCATTTGAAAAGAAATTAGAACATAAATCAACTCCTGGCTACTTTATTGGGTATCCAGATAGATCAAAGGGATATAAGTTTTACTGTCCAAATCGTAGCACTAGAATTGTGTAGTCCATTACTGCTAAGTTTCTGGAGAATGATTTTGGAGATGGTGGGAGTTCCATGTTGAGAAAAATTCTTGTTGAACCTAA